ATTTCTCCACGAATATTTATTGATTCTTATTAATTGTCATGAGCTTTTATTAGTTATTAATTAATCATTGCGTTCTCAGTTAGAAATTGTTTGAAATTTTGGAAAAATCTGACTGAAATATTGTTATTTGAAAAATCCAAAGAGTATTGCTTCAACTATTGACAAATATTTCAACATTGTGTAGAGCAACGGTTGTAGAGCAATCGATCACATCATAGCAATTTTATATATTTATATTTTTTTTTCAAGTATTCTTCGTATTTTTATTTTTTTCCGTTGTTAATTATCGAGTCTTTATTAACTGTCATTAGTTTTTTAAATTATTAATTAATCATTGCGACTGCAATTTGAAATTATTTGAAATTTCGAAAAAATCTCGGCCTTTTGAAGAATCTCCATCTCCACAAAAACCATAACATGCGGAAAGTGGAAGGAGTTAAGACGTACGTATGATCAGGCATCCTGTTTTTTTATATTTTTCAATTATTTTTTATACCTTCATATTTTTCCATAATAAATTATCAATTATTTATTAATTATTATGAATTTCGATTAACTGTAAATCAATCATTGCGCCTGAAATTTGTAATGGTTCGACATTCTGGAAAAATTTCAGTCTTTTGAAATTTCTAAATTCCCACAACACTGGGGAAACGAAAAATCTGACCCGACTATTTTCATTTGAAAAATTCCGAAGCAGTACTGGTTTAACTATTGACAAATATTTCAACATTTTCCGGAAAGTGGAAGTAGTGAAGACCTATGTGTGGTCATACGTTCGATTCTAGTGCCAATGTTTGAAGATTTCATCACACTATAGCTATTTTTTCATATTTTTCCATGGTTAATTAGTAGTTATTTATTTATTCATTAATCCAGATGTATACTCTTACGGTTTTTACATGCCGCGTGATTAATTATTAATTATTTATTAATTATCATGAATTTCGTTCAATCATAAATCAATCATTGCGTCGGCAATTTTAAGTGGTCAAACATTCTCATTTGAAAAATTGCAAAGAATGTTGATTTAATTATTCATAACTATTTCAACATTTTGCGGAAATTGGAAGTAGTGAACACCTGTGTGTGGTCAGACGTCCGGTTCTAGTGCCAGTGTTTGATGATTTCGTAACACTTTATTTTGTGACAATTAATTATGAGTTAGTTATTTTTTTATTTGTCCAAATGTATACCCCCTCAGATTTTTATATTTCACATGATTATTCATTAACAATCATGAGTTTCAATCAATTTTAAATTAATCATTGCGCCGCCAATTCGTAATGGTCTAAAATTTTGGAAAAATCTCAGTCTTTTGAAAAACTGGGAAAATGAAAAATCTTACCCGAATATGTTCATTTGAAAAATTGCAAAGAGTGTTGGGTCAACTATTCATAAATATTTCAACATTTTGCAGAAATTGGAAGTAGTGGAAACCTGTGTGTGATCAGTCGTTCAATTCTAGTGCCAGTGTTTGACGATTTCGTGACACTTTATTTCGTGACAATTAATTATCAGTTATTTATCGATTTATTAGCCCAAATGTATACTCTTTCAAATTTTTACATTTCGCATGATTAGTTATTAACTAGATAGGTGCGCGTGCTTTCGCACGCGCTTATTTTTTTGATGTGAAAATGAAGAAATCAAATTTATTAAACTTCATATACTCATAGATGTTTTATAAATATTGATAATGACTTGAAGAGAATTAAGAGAATGAAGAGAATTAAGAGACTGAAAAGAATGAAGAGTGAAGCATCAATGAATAATTTTTAATCTTCGATTAATTCTTTTTTGTTTACTTGTAAAAATAATCTGATTAAAATCTGTAATTGTTGAAAAATCAGGGGAGGGTTATGAATTGATTTCCTAGAAAGATGAAAAAATTTCTTGAATACTTCGGACACTTTCACAGTTTTCCAGATAACCGTAGATCACAGGTTTTTCTCGAATTATTTGGGAAACCGAAGAATTTTCGTGAATTTTGTAGAGTTTAGAATTTATGTATGAAAATCTGAGAAGCAAGAATTGATCATTTTGGCGTGTGATAAAGATGAAAAAATTAAAATTTGGGAAGTGAAGAATAATTTGTGAGTTGAAAAAATTTAGAAATACTATGTTCTTTTTTCTCATGATCACCAATTAGGCAATTTAGATATGTTTTGATATAAAGATCAACTTCACACATGAAAAAATGAAAAATATGACGCAGAACAAATTTTTGGCATTTGAAGAATTTGAAAATACCGGGGATTTTTATCAGCGCCTACTTCACGTGACTCATTGACCAACCAGAATTGAGGATTAGCGGTCAGGCAGATTCGAGATATTTCGATATAAAACAACTTCACGTTTCTTTCATCTTTAGCAAAATATAGGATTATCAAAAGTTTCAATTTATTATAAATCAATCATTTCGTCTGCAAGTTAGAATAGTTTGAAATGTTCGAAAAATATCAGCATTTTGAAGTATCTGAATTCCTCACAAAAACTGGGAAAACGAAAAACAAATTTAACCCAAATACTTTTGAAAAATTCAATGAGTATTGGATTGAACTATTGACTGTTGGCTGTAAAAAAAGCAATTACCTAAAATCTGCCAATGAGAGGGGGGGGGGGGGGATTGCATATATCCACGCCTAGGAAATTAAAAATTGAAATGAACTATAAATTTTCGCTGGATTTGCCGCGAAATGAAGGCGTGAGTATCAAAGCGGGAAAGGATGAAAAGGGCTTAGAGGATATTGCTACTATCCCCGACGGAAATATCGAGTGAGTGAGGAAATTGTGTCAGTGACCACAAGAGCCAGGACTCCACACGTTTCCCAAATCTACTATTACCTCTTTTCTCATCTGTTCGTTCAGCAGTGAATGCATTCCGGGGTTTTCGATTTAGCGTTGAGGGAATTCATCGACATTTTTTTGGAGACTATGACAACTATTTCAATTGATTGTTACTACTGTTTTTATGCATCAATTTTCTGGATCTCATTGAGAATTATTTTAATATAAAATATTTTCTCCCGAAATATTTTCCGCCTCTTTCTTTATTTGAGGAAATTAATGGAGTTGAATAATCAATTGATTAATACGTGGGAATGTTGTTGCTATGTGGATGAATGTTTATTCATCCAAGTTTTAACAATCTTTCATTTTCTACCTGACTCTCTCCATTTCCTTCACAGATTAAAATAGAAAAAAGCATTTCCTCTTTCTTCAATGCCTCTTTATTTAAATAATCACCTAAATTGTCAACTTATCGTTTATCGTCATATTCAGGTGGCGTACACTGATAGACAAAATTATTTTTATTGAGATGTTTCTTTCTTGCAACAAGTAATACATACTTGAACCAATTTCAAAAAATTTCCAACTTCAAAGTTAACCCATTCTACAATTTTCCAACTTTCCCTTTTTTTTAATTGCAAAATTCGAAAATTTTATTTAAAAAACTCCACAATCACTGAGGCGATTTTACTCAAAATCCAATGAGAATCAAGTTATGTGGAGACGCATCGATTACTCAAAATTAATTTCAATCCCATCGTTACCTTAGGTAAAATGCGAATGAAGTAATTTTTCTAAGTGAATGCAATGAATTTTGAAGAGATTGTCATTCCTTCACATGTTTTATGCAAATAACTAAGAAACTGCTGAGGCAATCGTCCCCATATACTCATCGGTTTGAAGTTTTTTTTAACACTCATAGATTGAAAAAATGATAATAATCACATAATTTCTCGGCATAAAATCTTTGAATTTTTGTCATTTTCACACATATTTCATGCGAATAACTAATAAACCACTGACACGGTCACCTTCATACACTGATGACTCCTAAGTTACATCACAACGCATCGAGTGAAATAAAAAAAAATGAGAATGATAAGATTTCTTCGGATAGAATCATTGAATTTTCACGAAATCGTCACTTTCTACATGTTTTATGCGAATAACTAACCAACCGCTGAGACGATCTTCTTCATACACTGAACATCCCCGAGTTACATCAACACGCATCGATTGCAATAAAAAAAATGCGAATGACATCATTTCTCCGGATGAAATCATTGAATTTCCAAGAAATCGTCATTTTTTCACATGTTTTATGCGAATAACTGACAAACCGCTGAGGCGTGAATATCAATTATTTCTTCTTGAGATATACGTTTACTTGAATCAAATAAAACAGTCCTTCGCGTCAAGTCACATATATTCACCACAAAAATGGAAAAGCTCTGTTTTAACCTAATATAATCTCCAGTCGTTAAATTTTCTGCTTTCATGAATTGATCAAAAATTTGCACCTAGGAGATGATTACATTGAGGAATGAATTACATGTTGTTTTCTCGAATGAAGCCGATATGTAAATTGAGCTTTCACATCACATTGAACGAAATTTGTGCTATCCAAGTTTGTGTTGAATTGCCGTAATCTGTGATTCTGTTATTGTAAACTAATGCGATTTTTTTAAATCAAGAAATATAAACTTCTTTGAACTCAACGATATCTTACTACAATGTCAAAGCTTTTTCCGCGTAACAATATTCATCCTGAATCGATATATTAAATGCTCACTTGAAGTATAATTTACTTGGAACAACGTATGATCGTGTTGATTGAGATAACAACGTATTTAGTCATGAGAATAATTTTTATTTTTGAGTAGACTAACGAATTTCTGGAGTTGGCAAACTTTTGGCTAGAACGAAATCAAATACTCTCATTATTGCAATAAGTAAGAGGAACTTCAATTCTGGACAAGTTCGATTTCTCCCAATCAAATGTATCTCAAGAAGAGATAACTGGCATTCACTGTGAAAAGCTTTCGGTTGTTTATTTGAAAATGAACAACCAAATGATAGTTGATTCAAATGAAATTCTCTTGATAAAATGAATTGTTTCAGTCCGTGTAAGAATGCTTGATGGTATTTTGACAGGCATTAAATAAAATATCGAAATAATTTGTTACAAATAAATGGATAGTACTCACATATAACCACGAGATGTGCATTAGCTCGAATGGCTTTGCTCTTCCCATAGGGGCCAACTTGACACTGATATTCCCCATCGTCAGTCAATGAAGCATCAGTGATAGTTAAATTATAAACCCCATATGCCTGATCACCCTTTAACCTCAGCCTTGGATAGCCGACAATGCTGCCCCCTACAAAATATAAATTGCGGTTTAATGAAACTGTCTTCGCATATTCTGATAGAATAATTCATTCACTGTCAATATTTTGTATTAATTTTTATTATCAATTTTATTAATTTTAAAGCTTTTCTTCTTGTTTCAATGCCTCGTAATTTAAATAATCCATCTGAATTGTCAAGTTATCATTTATCGTCATATTCAGGTGGATCAAGAATGCTTGATAATATTTTGGCAATCATTAAGGGCAGACTACTATAAGTTTTAAAAGTCGTCAACTATTGGAGTGAGATTTCTCATGCACTGAAGATCGATTATATATGTCTAAAAACAAATAATTAGTGCAAGAATAGTACATTACGTAACTAGTGCGGAAAGCAGGCGGTTACTCACGAGGGCGGCGCAGCCGCCCGAGTGATACCGCCTGCTGTCCGCACGTGTTGCGTATACTATTTTATATGATAAGTGCGTGATGAAGTTTGGAGGTGGAGGGGGGGGGGCGAGTGGGGGGCTTCGCTCCCTGGACCCCCTTTTCTCGTGGGGGGCTTTATCTGCTTCGAAAATCACGAAAAAGGGGGTCCAGGGGGCGAAGCCCCCGTTGGGGGGGGGTTCGCCCCCCCCCCC